ACGATCGAGGAATGTTCCAATTGTCTTAAGATGGTAAACATAACGTTCAGCAGAAAAGAAAAAGAAAAAAAAAGAAATCAATCGTAGAGACGAACAAGCGCCATAAGCCAAGTCTTCAAACATAGATAATTGACAAATTTAGGATAATCATATAATGATGTTCAAGTTTGTATATCTATTAATTTCTTACTTACTTAAATAGAATTCTTGGTCGTTTTTTTTTAGAAAGAAAAGAAAATATTGCTTTCAATAACGGAAAAGTAACTTTTTTATTAATATTCTTTATGTAATTTTAAAACTCGTCTGCACCAGACAACGACATAATTTGCAAATTTTTTTTATCTGCTGTTCAAACGCAATTTCGATCACATGCAAATATCGATTAATGATATTAGAAGCTGAAAAGTTGCAAGATTAAATTTGTCCGAGTTGAACGGAAGCTCAATGGCGATTGTCCGTGTTAAGGATTAAGTATGTCAAAAGAAAAAGTCTCGCCTTCCAATCAACGCCTGCAAACAACGGCGACACGAATTATAGTGAAGTGCTTAGCAACGACTTCCACACTTATACTAATTCGATAATAATGCTACTGTTACTTCCATTGACTTTTAAGTAGTGAGCAGTACTATAATTATAATATGTACAAGTATATAGATACGTAAAGCGATAAAACGTAACGTTATAAGCTGTTTTTTAAATCATTGTAACTGAATTCGATGCTCACTGAATGTTTTATACTTGTAGCATTAAGCCAATCTCGATTTTAGAACTGGTTTTGCACTCAATTTGAAAGTTGGGGATTGAGATGTTAAATAAGGATACGAAACACTTTTTCCCAATTCGTTACCCTTTTTTGAGGAAATGTGTTTAAAGATTACGTTTATCTTCGCGTATGAATTTCATTCCGGTGATCAGTGAAAGCCTTATAAAATTTATAAGTAACTGAATCTTTACAAATTGTATATGGACAAGATGCATGATGCAAGCACATTATTAATAAATCATTGTACCACCAAATAAGACCTTCATATATTTCAAAGGTAAATTATACTAAACAAATTAGCTATATTATGATGTAATATGTTATACAGTTCAGTAGTTTTAGTGTTATTTTTAATAAGCAATTTAAATTTAAAACATTTTGTTTCATAATTTGTGCCCAGCAGTATTTATCTATATTTTTTTTTATAAATCTCTATCTATAAAAGGCAGGATGTGTGTGTGTGTGTAACGAATGCACGGCCGCAATTTACATGCACATGCTCCAAGTTAGTGACAAGGCCAAGACCGACTTGCATTTCCCAACTCCTATCAATAGTGGAAATAATCGATTTTTTCATGCTTCTACGGCAGTTTTCATGTAGTTTGCCGTCATTTTCTACTGGTCAGAGTGAGAGTCTATAACTGGCTGCCACAAATAGGCAGGAAGATTCTATTGGCCAGCGTGAGAGCCAACAGCTGACTGACACGAATGTTAACTAGCATGCAAAAAAATCGATAGCTGTATTCGTTACAAGTGGGAAAAATTTAAATCTGCATGGCACTTTACTCCAATTGGCTCATTCGCTTGCTTAAACTCAACGTTGATTCTGATTCCGCAGAACTGGGTTGGGTGTGAAAACGTATTTGTTGTTAACATTCTTTTTTCATTCGGTTTTTCCAGTTACGAGTCCTTTTTTAAAGCTGATCGTTTTGTGCTCATTTTGTTTAGTTCTTTTTTGGTAACAGATTAAATGTTTAGTATAGATCTTAGAAAAAATTCGCAGTGTGAGATAGGCAAGAAGTAAGGCATGTAGCAACATCAGCACGGAAAAGGGCACTCCTTTAAAGGCAAGGAAGGGCAAAAATATTTTAAGTCAAGTGATAGCGATTGCTGTATGAGTCGTACAATTTTTGAATCAAGCACGGGCAACGCCGGGCCATGCTGCTAGCATATCTCTATATAGGAATGTTTGGCGATTGAGATTGCATCTATCTATCTATCTATCTATCTATCTATCTATCTATCTATCTATCTATCTATCTCCTATTGTACTCTCTGTTTTCTGAAATAGCAATTTTGATTCCAGCGTCATTAATTGGAGTTTCATACGATCTTTAAAACTAAATGCTCAAAAATTGGTAATGACCATAAATCTAATTTTTGGTGTCAGTACTTCTCACATCAAACCCCAGCTTTCACATTGAGTTTAATGTTGATTTTTTTTTTATAGAAATTGAAAAATCAAGCTGCCCTATTGTGGCATGTGTAGAAATATATTGAAAAAGGTCGGATTCCAAGAATTATAAACAGAAGCATGCCAATACATTCTCCCAATACAAGGCCTAAGAGCTACTCAAAGTCGTGCGCTACTGAAAGAGGTTGGTGATATGAACGTAAAACAAGTAAGTAGGAAGTGATGATTACGAGAATATGACAGATAAGTAACGATTGACCTTTGACTTGAAATAGGATTATAGTTTTCGGGGAAGCATCCACACGGGAGTTTATCATACAAAGTAGCGGTTCTTGGAAACAAGCTTTTGGAGTGGGACGGCCTTTTTACTAAAGGAATACACAGAGGATGAGAGCGATTCAACTTTGTGGATGTAGAAAGCGGCAAAATATTAAAGAATGGAGCTCGTCGTCTGAGCATGCGCCATGGAAGAATTTAATAATGATAGACTTGCGATGCGGGAAAGGGAAAATATAGCTGAAAATCCCCCCCCCCACACACAAAGCCGCGTAAACAATGTAAAACTGTATCCAGGACAGAAAGTGAGGAATGAGCAGTTCCAGCCCAGATATAACACTAATAGGACATTTTTGGTTTGATCTGACTGTTGCAAAGATAAAGCGTCGTAGAAGTAGTCAGGTACTTTCTAGAACTGTACGAGGAACCAACCATTTTCCCAGAATCTTCAGCAATAGATCGTATGTATGAGTTCCACTTGAGGTCTGAGGTGAACTTGAAAAGCGAATCCATAGTTTGGTCGAAATTTTGCATGTAAAAACTACGATTGACAATTTTTTTATGACTTAGTTGATGAGTAGGAAGAGATTTTTTTTGTAATGAGATATTGCCTTAAAATACTGATATGTTAATAAGAAATCGGAGAGCGAAGTTCGAATTCCACTCAGATCGATTACATTCACTTATGTACTAATACTCTTGGGAAATCTATGAATACTCTTCTTCTCACGCCCAGCTATGGTTAAATAGCAGGGCAGACCGGGTTCTATAGCCTTGAATGGCAACTGGTCTACCGCAGAAAGAAATGGCAACCTACTGCGGGAAAAAATCTACCTCGTCAGTCATGTATCGAAAGATCATGATCACCTAAGCGTGTCTCACGCTTGGCACATAACTCACTGCTTGATGTTAGCAGATTAAAACTTAATATCTAAGCGAGGCATGACTTCATTTAATTTAATATAAGGTATTTATATTTTTCAATTTGTTAATGCTGTATCATTTATATTATTCGGATTATCTTTATTGCCATATTCACGACGTTTCGGCCGTTGTACGCTCCGGCATTCTTCAGGTGATTGGAATTTCGAACTGAACCGAAACGTCGTCAATATGGCACTAAAGATGAGGACAGTAGTCCGAACAATGTAAATAATGTAAATAATTGCAATTCATCATCTCAGAAATTTTTTTTTTTTTAACTAATGATGCTATATTATTTAAAAAAATAAATAAATAAGCAAACACACGAAATTGGGTGTGATAGAAAGGGAGGAGATGGATGTGAAGAAGGAAGAAGAAAATGGAGGAGGAAGAAGAGAAGAAAGCAAGAATATTATAAAAGTATCGATCGGGGGTAAATTGAAAGGTAGATTTTTTTTTTATCCAGCCTCATATGTGTTTAAGAGGAATTTCCTAATATGTAAGCAAGGACTCAAGACTTTTGATTTCTGGTTCAGAAGATTCTTTGGATCCGGAAATGTCATAATTACTAATTTGCTGGCAGAGGTTGCAAATATTGTTGTGGTTGTTATTTTTTAAAAAGATTTCAGCTTACAAACGGATCCCTGTTTTTTTTTTTTTTTTGCTTTTTAAATTACACACACACACACACACACACACACACACACACACACACATATATATATATATATATATATATATAGTGTACTGGAGCAGCAGATTATTATTTAAACATATAATATTAAATATAACAGACAATGAATATCTATTATGCCTGATCATGGGCCGTTCTTATTGAACAATTTTTGTATTTATTTTCACCAGAAATTAAAGCAAACATTCAAACATAACAACGACACATAAAATCATAAAAATATAATAGCTAATCACCAATGTTTCTTCATTTTCGGTCACAATTTTTTCTCTTTCTCTCTCTCTTTTCTTTCTCTCTCTCTCTCTTTCTCCTTTTCTTTTTCTCCCTTTCTCTTTTTCTCGTTTGCTCTCTTTTTCACACTTTTTCTCTTTCACTCTTATTTTCTCTTTCTCTCTTTCTTTTTTCTCTCTATCTCTTTTCTCTCTCTTCTCTCTCTCTCTCTCTATATATATATATATATATATGAACTTCTGAAATTACCATGTCTCAAGAAACAGCAAGTAGAAAGATGAGCAAGTATTAAGTCAATTTCGAAATACTTTCCTAAATATAAAAATCGATCAAAAACGAACTCTCGTTACAAAATAAACTTCTTCGAATATCGTCTTGAACGAGAAGTTGCACATAAAAAAATAAACGACATATTTCTTTTTTACGCCCGAGAGGCAACAGGCCAAGTACAAGAATCTTGCAAGTCTGTAAATGAAATTGTGGATGCGCATTACAAATCCAAATTCGGCGTTCACAGATTAACTACGCTTGTACAAAGCATTTATTGGTTTAGAAATTTCCAGCCCCGCTGGAGATTAGTTAACAAACTGGTTTAATTGGAGATGTTATTTCTTAATGTTATTGTATTATTGACTAGAACCAAACTCTGAAAATGAATCAGGAATTCACTCAGCATTCATTTGCAGGGATGTAAGTTGTTATTTGCGTCGTGATCTTTGTGCATTGCGTAAACATTTATCTGTTAATATTGTGGCTTTGCAATGATCGTTCTTCCTGAACAAGTAACAAGTAAGCAAAGAAACAAGAGAAGAGTAGTGTCGGTTTAATTTATACATAAATGTATAATGGATAGCCGCCCGTATACGAGTATGTCTGTCTGCTAGGAGACGGCTAGCTACAGATGTAATTCATACATACATACACTCTTACATCTATAATAATAGCTGGCCAGTTGTATTCGAGGATACCCGCCTACTAGGGGAGGGGCAGCGAGTCCCTAATTCAGACGCTCGCTCAGGTACATTTGTGGTTTATGCTGAGCAGACCTTAGTTACAGTTTCTGGGGGAGAGCGTGTTATCTAGCGTGATCAACAATCTGGACAGCACATTCAAAAACCTCGGTCATGATGACTTGTGACTTCGTGCTAGCACGGCTATCGACGTGTTCCGTCTACCCAATTTCACTCCGGTCAACCCGTGGTATAGTTTTCAAGCACTTTCCGATAACATTAGGGAGTCTCCTTCCTGACGTGGTGAGATTCGAACCCGGGTCTCATGGTCAGAGAGCGAACGTTCTAACCACTCGGCCACGCGCCCATATCTTACATATATACAGATATGCATACATACAGACATACAAGATATAGCTGCCACCACATTGTCGAATATGATCACCACAAAATATAATTGCAAAACTTAGTATTCATAATGCGAAAAAATATCTTTCAATATAAAGCAATGCTCGTTAGACAAACATATATAATAATAATAATCGACTCTCCCGTCGGTTTCAACGTATGAGGATCTGATAACTTAATTGATTCAGTTATGAAATTTTTGAGATAATCTTAACTGGCACTTAAGACCCGCTAGTGATTTACAAAGAAGGCTGCATATGCAGCAAGAGTGAGGATTGTGGGATGAGATCGCTGTTAGATTGGCTGACCTTTTAGATCTTGCTCTCGCTTCTTGATATGATTCAGACAAACAGATTGAAAACTGCTGAGTCCACTAAAACACGTTGATCTCCATTCTATCGGCACCAAATATGACGGACAAGGAAAATATTAGTATTCAAAACCACCCCAAAAATACATCTTCAACAGTCAAAACATGAAAAGAAACTTACAACGCCAAAACAACCCCCGACACCTGAAAATGGCGGAAGAAGCGGTTGGGGCAATGGCGGTATGGACAGTTTTTGTACTTGCTCCCTACCACCAAATATAAAAACGCTAGAGAAAAAAAAAAAAAAGAATTAATAAATTTTTCCTTGTCTGTCATATTTAACGAAAAGATGTTTAAAGGAAAGGTTGCTGCCAATATATATATATATATATATATATATATATATATATATATATATATTTTTGTCAGACATAGGGTCATCCAGCAGCCACTCTCTTGACTCAGGGCAGTACTATCTCCCAAAGTCACTTGATGTAAGCCTCCGTGTTGAGTTTGAGACCCTCACGAACAAATTCGGTTGTTCTTTTCTTATCAGAAAGATTTTCTGTTCTGTCGTAACTTCGGAGTCATCCAACTCTTTCCGAATCTTCTTCACCGTCCGGCGCGAATGCCAAGTACAACATGCCGCTTCCAAAATTCTCGCAGAATGAATTGTGTCATGGCGCTCTTTTTCTTACAGGCAGTACCCAACTGACTCTACTAAACTCTGCAGACGGCAAAATCAAAAAAGAAACAACGCGCATGCGCGAAATTAAAAATATAAAATGGCGACAATATACCACTATATACTAGATAGATAGATACGAAGCAATCAACAGATAGATAACAGTTTGGGTTGGAGTGAGTGAAATGAGCATTCATGAATATGAACAGGGTGATATATATATATATATATATATATATATATATATATATATATATATATATATATATAGGCTTATATGATATATATATATGTGTGTGTGTGTGTGTGTGTGTGTGTGTGTGTGTGTGTGTACGTATGTGTGTGTCTACTATTAATAATAAAAATCCTTTTTTTCTCATCGTTAGGTACAACTCATCAATCTTAGGGTATGGATTGAAAATTCAGTTTCAGTTAGTAACTGAAGATTGCTGAGTTGTAACAAACAGTGTGGGTAAATGTCTAGTTTTTATTTTATATATATATATATATTAGGTTGGTGCAAAAATAATGACGTAACAATGTCGTTTTTTGACGTATTTTTAACGTCAAAAAACGACATTCTTAGGTCATTATTTTTGCACCAACCTAATATATATATATACTTAAATGCCCGGCTACTCTCGTTTCCGAGCACATAAGCCTGTTAGGGTGGTTAGTTAAACTCTGTCGCAGACACCTACTCAGGTACATGTGTGTTTTTTCAATATCCACATAGCGCACCTGTGGTTTATGCTGCAACTTCAGAGTGGACCTTAGTTACAGTTCCTGGGGGAGAGTGCTTTATCTTTCATGATCAACAGTTTGAACAAAGTCATTACGCTCAAAAGCTCGGTCACGATGACTTGTGTCTTGGTGCTAGTACAGCCATCGACGAATTTTGAGCAGTTCCGTCTAGCCAACTTCACACACACGTCTTAGGTAAATCCGTGGTATGGTTTTCAGGAACTTTCCAAAGGTACTGTACGCTGGGATCACCTATCCAGACTGATAAGTCAACTTCCTGATAAATCGACCATGTGATCAAAACCCGGGTCTAACCACTCGGTCTAGGCCACATATTTATACATACATACTTGATGGCAACCATTTTGTTGCCGTTTATGGCCATAACAAGATATGCTGAAGACATGCATACATGCATAGAGACAAACATACACACTCACACAAATATATCTGTAGATAATTTAAAGCTTAATTTAAATATGGGGTTTCCAGTAGTAAGGATCGAACACCCAATACTCTGCAAGATTTTCTTGCCATACACTGTCCTTAACACACACACGCACACACATGCATACATATATACATACAGTAGCATAATAAAAGTTTTTAGCCAGGAGAAATAAACTACATTTAATTCCAAAATTTAATTACGTAATCCTAACTCAACATAAATAAACAGTATTTGGAACTAATATAGAGTAGGTCCTCTATTTGCTAGTATTCGATTTTTTATTGATTTGATGAAATTATCAACAATTGTCTGATCCATATTTTGCCACTCCTTTCGAAATGTTTCAATCCCTCCATGTTTCACGGTCACCTTCAGACATTCAGTGTTCCAAATCTCATTCTTCTTTCTCCAAACAAACCTGTCTCGAATTCCAATATTGGAAGAATTTACTTTCATCTGACCAAATTACGGACTGCCAAAATTCATAAACCTTGTTCTCAACTTCTCTCGTCCAGTCCATACGCCTGTTTCTGTTAACCTCTGAAATCAAGGGATTCTTTCTTGTAACTCTTCTTTGATTGCGTAGCTCTTTCAGAATCTTTCTCACCAGATATGGCGACATTTCCATGCTGTTGGCGACATCTTAGACGTTCTGACCAAGATTTCTAATACCTACCCTCTTCAACGGCCTTTTCGTTCGCTCAGACGTGATGCATGAACTTCCTGAAAGTTGTTCCACAAGACAATGGCCTTCTTCATTAAATTTTTTGACAATATTATTAACCGTTTGATGATTAAGCTGGAAAAACCTAGCAATTTCTCTATTTGACTTGCCACACTGGTGCCATCCTATTATTTGCCCTCGTTGAAATTCACCAATTTCCTTACTTCCGCAAACTTTCATTGCAAAATATAAGTCAAATAAGTCAACTATCGTTCATAGATGAGAGCAACTTGTTACTAACACGCTATTGTCTGAAAAAAGGAAGTGACATTATTACACAAGCTGTAAAAATTGCTGTAATCAAGGGTGGCAAAAACCTTATAGCGCAATGTACATACACAATATATGTATATGGAAATTGTTCAGATGAGCTCTTCGTTATGGTACTTAGACCTTTTTTTAATTTAAGCGCAGTACCTGACTAGCGTCGAGATTCCATCAACCTACAGCTGAGTTGGCTAGATGTAGCTGTCAGTTCTATACTAACAATTTCTTTTCTCGCACATCGCTTGTGGTACTCCTTTCCGGCTCCATGCTTTCCAACCAACTTTGATCTTCAAAAATTTAAATGCAATGTCAATCGCTATCTACTGTTCTCCTGATTACTCTTCTCACTTCCCGCTCATTATTAATGTCTCTGTTCCCAATTCTTCGACACCCTGTAACCCCTTGTGTGTTAGTGGCTTTACTGCCTTGCATGGACTGAAACCGATTATCTATCTATCTGTATAGACCTGACGGAACCAAGAAATGTGGTTCCTCTGAGCACTTTCCAATATATATATATATATATATATATATATATATATATATATATATTATATGGTACTTAGACATTTTTTAATTTAAGCGCAGTTCCAGACTCGCGTGTAGATTTCATCAATTTACCGTTGAGTTGGCTAGATGTAGCTGTAAGCCAACTTTGATCTTCAAAAAATTTAAATTCAATGTCAATCGCTATCTACTGTTCTCCTGATTACTCTTCTCACTTCCCGCTCATTATTAATGTTTCTGTTCCTAATTCTTTCACCCCCTGTAACCCCTTGTGTCTTAGTTGCTTTACTGCCTTACATGGCGTGTAACCGATTATCCAAACTGCTATCAACAGCCGCCATTGTTTCACTCCGTCACCTTTTTTGCCTTTATGTACTTTTCTTTTAAACAAATGAAAAAAAGGAATTGACGTTTCACATGCGGCTTGCTTACAAACTGAATTGTTCATAACCATTTCGGTTCTCATCAGTCAAAGTGCAATTTTAAATGCACTGAAACAAAGTTGCATCTGTGTAGTGAGTGAAATGTTTTTGTCTATATGAAAAAATTATAATAAATAATTATTGCTCTACTATCAATATTGAGCCCTGTTTT